TCGGTGTAGAATTTTGCTAGTTAGAAAGATAATTGAATTCTTTCAGAGAATTGCGTTAGAATTTAAAAAATTTAAACTAATTTCAACAGAATTGAAATTAAAATTTATCAAAAAAATACTTTATTAAATGATTTATAAGTAATTAATTTATGTCAGTTCTTCAATAGAATTAAGTTTTTTAAAATAAATTGTTGTCAGAACTAGAAAAAAATTAGTTTTTTTTAGAATTCGTGGTAATTTCATAGTTTTTGAGGACAAACAAAAAGACACAAAAATTCAGAATTTTCTTATGAATTCCAAAAATTCTATTTTTTACATTACTTTTAAAAAAAATCCCTGACTTTTCCCTGATTTCCCTGACATGGGTCAACCCTGACTATGTTTAGTCGGACACAATGCTAATGACTAGTAAAAAAATTAAAAAGATAAAAATACAGAACTACACTGGAAAAAAATTTATTTGATTCAAATAATCGATTAATTGACTATCAATAAAATATTTAATTTTATCAATTAATATTGATTGGAGTCAGTTAAATGGTATTTGAACCAATAATTTCAGTATTTGAAGCAAATATGAACTGAACCATTTGATTGACTCGAATAAATATTATTTGATTCAAGTAAATATTTAATTGATAAATTAAATCGGTTATTAAATTAACTAATCGGTTATTTGAATCAATTCAATTTTTTTCAGTGTAACCGAAAAGAAAAGTACGAACAGTCCCAGTAAAGGGATAATAAAATAAAATTTTCGTTAAAACCGGATGTAATTGTAATAATGTGTCACTTTTTCCCTCCTTTTTTTGGTATAAAAGCACTTTCTTGGTATTTTGTAATGAAACTCGACTCTCGTAAAAGTTAAATGCACTCCAATTTATTTTGATCCATGGAACCTTTATTTATTGCTGTGTGCTTGCCTTCGGGGATGGGAAAATTGCCATCCAACGCTACTAAGAAGACGACGACACGGGGACTAAAGCAGCCTTTTTCCTATGTGTCCTGCGGAAGTGCAAGATCCGTGCGGCTTCTGGCTGAGCGAGAATACTTGTCGGCTATGGATCTTCGATATCGAAAAGCAAAGTGCTTCAGGTCTATGCTTTCGTTCTCATACCCCCCGACTTTTAGTTCACTTGGACCATTTTCCTTTTTCTCTCTCTTTTTCTCTCTCTCTCCCTCTCTTTCTCTTGCTCACTCTGTCCAAGACTGAAAACTTTTGGAAACTACTTTAGTAAAAGCACCCTGCTGAAACAGTGGCCTGTGTGTGAAAGAGTATCGAGTTTGATCAAGCCCCCCCCCCCCCCACCCACACACCCACCTTCGCTCTAAAAAGCTCCTCAACATTCTAGACTTTTAAAATTCTTAAGTACTACTCACTCGTTTTGATTTTTATAACTCTTTTCATTTTTACTTGATTTTTTTTATCTTCCTTTCTTTCTTTCTTGTGAATTTCTTCTCAAACGTCGTTTACCTTTTGCTTTTTCTATTTTCTTTTCCTTCAAATTTATTAAAGTCGTTCTTTCTCTATATAAAAGAATATTATTCGATTGATTAGTTTTTTCTCGTGAATAATAAATGATAGCATATCTTTCGCTCGATAGATGAGATAAACAATAAGGTGGGAGGAATTCATTTTGAATTTGTTATTGAAGATTTACATTTTTTTCAGCTATTGAAGAGGAAATGATTATTCGTGAATAACATTTGAATAATAGAATATTACATAATTTATGATTGAGGAATTTTTTTTTTTTTTTGCACTCTTATTGAGTTATAATGTGAGGTGTGTTAAACTTGCGGAGTTGAGGGAATTTGATAAATTGAAACTTGTGACCACCCTGAGTAATAAAGGAGCGCGAAGGGTTTACAACAAAAACTTTAAAAATTCTATGATCCGATTAGAAATTCCATGAGATTTCCATTATTCCATGAATCAAAATGAAATTCCATGACAATTTCATGATTTCCAGGTTTTCCATGACTTGTAGAAACTCGTGTAATATCAAATTCATCATCCACACTAAATATAACTTTCTGATGCACTGTCACTGTTTATGAGGAGTATACATTTTTAAAAGCATTACAACATTTTTTTGCCCTCATACGATTATAGATAAGCATAAACATATAGAAAAATACGCGCGCTTGTAGGCGAAACTAATTTTTCACTGGCAGCATAGAATATAAATGTCGACGAGCAAACTTTTATTTAACGACGCGAGACGATATTTATGTTTAAAACGTGTCGCCTGCGTTTTTAAAAAGCGTTATGCTGGAAGCGGATGTGAATAAAAAATTTTTTTAATACAGTTATGCGCCATAGATGTTTGTGAACTCCAGTTTCGTCGTTTCAATGAGAGTTAATTTATAATGAGCATTCTAAATATTTCGTGAAAAAATTCACTAAATGTTTGCTATACATTTTTTTTGGAAAATTATTCAAGGCAAAATTTGATAATGAAAAAATATTAACTATGTTCTTCTAAAAATTTTTAGCCATCTATTTTCTTATCTCAATAGTAAAAAGTAGTTTCAGTCAGAAAAAATCTAGAAATAGAATGGAATTTTAAAAAAATTTCTGGAATTTCCCCTGTTTTTAAAGATTTTTAATAAAATTTTAATTTAAAATTCAATCAATGATTTTCATAAATAATACAATTTTTTACAGGGATTCAATTATTTTCATAAATTCATAATAAAACTCATCGCAGACTTTCAATTATTGTTAATTTTTCATACAATTTTAATGGAATTTCTCAAAAAATGTAATTATTCTTAAAAATTTTATTAAAATTCAGCAAAGAAATTCAATTATTTTAAAAACTTTTTCTACAATTTATTTATTACAATTTAAGTATTATTTTAAATACATTTTTAATTAAATTTCTTCAAAAAATTGAATTATTTTCATAAATAATGAAATTCTTTGTAACAATAAAATTTTTTTCAAAATAATTTTCATAAAATTCTACATAGAAATTTAATTAATTTCAAAAATTTGTCAAAATTCAATTATTTTCAATATATACTATTTCAATAAAATTTCACAAAAGAATTCAATTATTGAAAAAGATATTTTAATAAAATTCGTCTCAGGAATTTAATTATTTTCAAAAAGTATTTTAATTCTTCCCAGAAATCCAATTATGTTCAAAAATTATAATAAAATTCTTGGCAAACATTTAATTATTTTCATTAAATATTAATAATTTCACAGAAATTCAATTATTTGCAAACTTTTTAAAATTTCTTCGCAATAATTCAATTATTTTCATAAATAATAAAATTTTTACAGGGATTTAATTATTTTCGTAAATAATAAAATGCTTTTTAGGAATTGAATTATTTTCATAAATAATAAAACTCATTGTAGAATTTCAATTATTTTTAATATACAATGTTAATCAAATTCCCCGAAAAATGAAATTATTCTTAAAAATTTTATTAAACTTCGTCGAAATAATTCAATTATTTAAAATTTGTTGATAAAATTATTTATGAGATTTGAATTTTAAGAAACATTTAATTATTCAATAAATTATTTTTTTGCATTACAATTTATTGCAGAAATTTAATTATGTTCAAAAATAATAAAATTCTTCTTAGGTATTCAATTATTTTCACAAATAATAAAACTTTTCGCAGAATTTCAATTATTTTTAATACAATTTTAAACAAATTTCATGAAAAATGTAATTATTTTAAAAAGCTTTGTTAAAATTCGTCGAGGGAATTTACTTATTTAATAATTTATCTGATAAAATTCTTTACGAGCATTCAATTTTAAGAAACATTCAATTAACAAATTATTTATTTTTGTATTTAAATAATTGAATTCTAATAGAATTTTCTAATAAAAATTGATTTAAAAATGAATTTTAGTTAAAATTTTATATAACAATTGAATATTTAAAGCATTTTACTATAAATTTTTAGAAATAATTGAATTTTGAAAAGGTTTAATTTTAAAAATTGGCAAAATTTGAACTATTTTCAAAAATTTTCTACAATTCAATGATTTTCAATATCTACTGTTTTAATAAAATTTTCTAAACGAATTCAATTATTTTCATAAATAATAAAAATTTCCCAGGAATTCAATTATTGACAAATTTTCTTTATAAATTTCTTCCCAATAATTCAATTATTTTCATGAATAATAACATTTTTACAGGGATTCTATTATTTTCACAAAAATAAAATGAAACTCGTGGCAGAATTTCAATACAATTTTCATCAAATTTATCAACGAATGAAATTATTCTTGAAAATTTTATTAAAATTTGTCAAGAGAATTAAATTATTTAAAAATTTTGTTGATAAAATTCTTTATATGAAAATTCAATTTTATGAAACATTTAATTATTTAATAAATTAATTTTTCTTTCAAAAAGTTTTATGGAATTTAATTTTAATATTTATTGAAAAATGAAGTTATTGATATTTTCATTGTAAGAACCTGGAAAAATTCCGTTTTTTAACCTGGAAAAGTCAGGGAATATGAAAAGAGCAAAAGCGTGGTAACCCTGAGTATAGTAAAAAGTAGTTTCAGTCAAATAAATTTTCTATTCCTTTAATTTAGTTCCTTAGTAGTAAAAAGTAGTTTTAGTAAGAGAAATTTTCCACCCTTTTAATTTTGTTTCTCAGTAGTAAAAAGTATCTTCACTCAGACAATCACTGTAAAAATAAAGAATCACTGTAAAAGTCATTTATTTAAAGCAGAATCATGTCCTTTGTGCGAGAGAACAAATATTTGAAATTTCAGAAATATTGTTCCTCTTTTTATTCGAGGGAAAAATGTAATTGAAAAGTTTTTAATAATGTCGCCATTTTATAAAATTTGTACGTTTTCTTTTTTTTCTACACTATCGAAAATTACATTATTATTGTTCCATTTTTTTTGTAGAGTTACATATAGCTATGTTATTTCAACACACAAGTAAATTTTCTACGAAAATAATGGTAAATAATGTACATTTTTCATTATATGCTTGCAGTTCTGGTCGGCATACGTGCCGTGTTCCTCGCAGCATCTGGACTCAGTGCAACTTGCCCTCGAGCAAATCGACCTAATTCGAAGACTGGTCAACAAACATCCCCAAAATATGGTTCTCGTTACCACTGCCGAGGGTGAGTCACGGCTTATATTTTAATTCATTATTTTCATTTCATTATTTAAATTTCATTATTTTAATACTAGCTAAAATATCGCGCACTAAAGCGCATGTTTTATAAAATTTTATAAAATTTCAATATTTTCAATCAATTTCATTAGAAATTTTAAAGATTACATAAGTTTTTAAAAATATTAATAATTTAAATTCTTCTGTTTGTTAAATTTTTTAATATTGAATCAAAATTAAAATGATGAAAATAATTTTGAAAAAATTACAGTAAAAATATTCCTATTATATAAAATAATTATCTTATCACTCGGTTATCTTTAATTTGTTCATGTTTTATAATAAATATTCTTAAATTAGTCAATTTTTTCATCAAATTCGAAACAAAAATTCAGTCATCGTTTTAAATAAATAAAAAGCAACTAATGCAAATTTAAAACAGTGTAAAATTGTATAAATTAAAAAAAAGTTTTACCTCACCACTCAAGTTTATTCAGACTCTTAATACATAAACTTCAAAGAATTCAATTACTTTTCCCTCTATTTGACCAGTAACTCGCTATTACTTTACGATTTCATTATGTAAAAGCTTCATATCGTCTTGTATTAAAAAAAATTTTCTTTTATCATTAATAAATGCACAAGTCGCACCTTTCATCCATTTATTCATCACCTTTTTTATCGCAATCTAACGTAACTTTCTTTTTTGCAAAAAAAAAAAATTTGCAATTCAACTACTTAATTCACTTTTTACTATTATCATTTTTAACTCTATGGTGTATTAAAAAACGAGAGAGAGAGAGAGAGAAAGAAAAAAAATGATACGGCAATTTCATTTTGTACGCGATACATCTGCTGGGGAATGTAAAATTGTTGAATATAATTTATATAAATTTCATAGGCTATAAATTCTAGAGGAGAAATGATTTTCGTTATAGATTTCAGTATCGAATACATAAATTTATACATATGGTACAATATATATGTATATATAGATGTCGAAAAATTTATGCGACATAGAAATATACTGTCTTCATGTTTATGGAAGATATTTTCGGTTAAAGTTATCTTCAATATGACCCATGGAATATAACTAAAGTTTATAGTTTATTATATTTATATAGAATATTCAAAAATTTTATTTTCAAACCCCAAAAATGAAAAACATTTTCTCAAGCATTAATTGAATTATAATTTTATTATTTTAATATAATAATAATATTTTCTTCGAAACAATTATTTTATTATTACCCAAGGGCAATAATGGGCACTCTATTAACCGCTCTATTAACTAAAATAAATATTTCTATTCAGTGAGGAAATCTTCTAGTTTCTCTCCTTACAATAAAATAAAAAATTTATAAAATTCAAAAACCTTTCATTTTTCTATTGCTCAAATATTTCGTCATTCGTTAAATTGATGTTTGGACCACATAAACTTTTACTACAAAAAAAAAAGAGTAAAATAAATAAACAAATAAAAAAAAATAAAAATAAAAATAGTTGACTTGAGTAAAAATTTGAGCTTCAGGCGCGCAATTCGCGTATACTTGTCAAATGGCACTTTTCTATGAAGGCTGCGAACAAAACGACCATACGATAAATGGAGAAAATATCTCGCGTTATTGGGTCAAGCATCGCGAACGTTCCTGAATGATGATAAAATTCCAAACCCGGTCCATTTGTCTGGCTCTGGTCCAGTCGTTTTCAACCTTCCGACCTATTCGATTTTCGATTCGTCTTGCTATTCACTTTAAATCGAAACTAACAAGTGATGCAAAAAATCCCAGTTAATCGTTTCGTGTGGAAAGAAAAGCAATTATCTATACACATATATATATATTTATACGTAGCGTAGCAGAGAATGAATCTATAACCAAAGTAATTAACAATTATGGTCAATAATAACAAAATTTTTGTTGCGATTCCTATTCTCATATTAAATTGAAAATTGTTCGCTTTATTATTATTTCTTTTATTTACTATTTTTTTATTCTTCCCATTATTCTCTTATCATTTCTATTTTTTATTTCTTCTATTCTTTTTTCATTATTTCTATTATTTACTTTATTATTATTTATTATTTTTATTTCTATTTTTTATTCCTCCTATTATTTTTTTATTATTTTCATTATTTTCTATTTCTATTATTTTTTAATTATTTTTATTTTTTATTTCTCCCATTGATTTTTTTCATTATTTTTATGATTTTCTATTATTCATACTATTCTTTTATCTTTATTTATCTTTGCTATTTCTATACGAGTTGTTCAAATAATTAAATTTAAAGAAAAACTGTTAGAAAAATTATGTTTTTTTTTAAAAAATGAAGAATTTTCATTAAATTTTTTAAAGTAACAATGTTAAGGAAAATTTCACGTTTTTTTTTGTTTTGCTAGTTTTGGTAGTTCTAATAATAGAAAAATATTAAAAAATGGAAAAAATAGTAACCAATTACTTGGAAATTTGATTCCCTCGACAATAATTATAATACGTCAAATACAGTTGATTCCATTTTCTAACTGAAAGAGAATTGAATCTACTGGCCTTATGCGTGCGAGACGAAATCTCGAATTCAAATGGAAAATCGAAGGGTGGGTGCCACTTTGAGCTTCAAGCATCCACTCGGTGTATTTGTTTCGATTCGAGTATTCGACACAAAACCCATCAGAAAATTCTGGCCATTCGCCAGCACACAGACAGAGAGAGAACGTTTCACGACACAATCTTTTCTCTACCGCATGGATCACTATTCAGATTTTCCGTTCACTCACAGTTAAATAAAAAAAGAGAGAGAGAGAAAAAAAAGAAAAAAATTCGAAAACCAAATTTTCCTTCAAATTAGATATAAATGAGTTTACGACAAGAGAAGAAAGAGTTGGACTCTTTCTGATTTTAGAAAATTATTTCAGGTTTTCCAGGTTAAAAACGGAATTTTCCCAGGTTTTTAATATACGAAAATTATTCGAAAATATCAACAACTTTATTTTCAAATAAACATTTAATCATTATTATTTTTTCATATAGAAATTCAAAATTTCAAAAATTTGAAACTCAATAACTTATAATAATTAAAACTTGCTACTTTGTTACTGTAACTTCTTCAAAAATTATTTTCATCATTACGATTATTCATTTCTAGAATTTTCAACTAAAATTCTTCTTTAAATCAATTTTTTTAAAATAATTTTTGAAAAGGTTCTTTCAGAATTTTCAGAAATTTTAATTTGAAACTTCAATTATTTCTAAAAATCCACGCTATAATGCTTTCAATCTTCAACTATAATTTAAAATTTTAACTAAAATTAATTTTTTAATCAATATTTATTAGAAAATTCTACGAGAATTCAATTATTTAAATACAAAAATAAATATTTCATTAAATAATTAAATGTTTCTTAAAATTGAATGCTCGTAAAGAATTTTATCAGATAAATTTTTAAATAAGTGAATTCCCTCGACGAATTTTAACAAAGTTTTTTAAATAATTACATTTTTCAAGAAATTTGTTTAAAATTGTATTAAAAATAATTGAACTTCTACCATGAATTATATTATAATTTTTGAAAATAATTGAATTTCGGAGAGGAATTTTATTTTTTATATAAATAATTGAAATTTTGACGAGAATTTTTGTGAATTTTTTAACATAATTGGATTTTTGCGAAAAATTAGAATACTTTTGAAAATAATTAAATTCCTGAGACAAATTTGATTAAAATATCTTTTTAAATAATTGAATTCTTTTGTTAAATTTTATTGAAATAGTAGACATTGAAAATAATTGAATTTTGACAAATTTTTGAAATTAATTAAATTTCTACGAAGAATTTTATGAAAATTATTTTGAAAAAAATTGTATTGTTACAAATAATTTCATCATTTATGAAAATAATTCAATTTTTTTAATCAATTTAAATAAAAATGTATTGAAAATTATACTTAAATTGTAATAAATAAATTGTAGCAAAAGTTATTTAAATAATTGAATTTCTTTGCTGAATTTTAATAAAATTTTTAAGAATAATTACATTTTTTGAGGAATTCCATTCCTGGAAATCCAGGATTTCCAGGATTTTTAGGCTCTGTGGCAACCATGAATAAATAATACTCGTATAAAAATGAAAATATTAACAACAACAACAACAACAACAAACAGCAAATATTTATTATTAAATGAAGCCTCGTATTTATTTGATAACGCCCTAAGCGAATTATTTGCGAAAAAAGAATTCTTTCTCGCTTCATGCAAATGAAATACATGACAGTATGAAAATTAATATACGGACATATTCTCTCTTGACAAACAAATTTCGAAACTTAGTTACAGCAGTGAGCTTTATATACGTACACAAAGTTGAAATAAGTAGAAAGCACGATAAGGGAGCTTTTACACGGATAGGGAGAGTCTGATAGACGCCCTGACATATATCTCTCTTAACCCACGAGTCGGAAAAAGACAACACAGCCACTGTCAGTGTTTATAACAGGGTATCCTGAGCATCTTCTTCTACCTTTAACGGTGGATTCACTGAGAGATATATACAACAATAATGTTTCTCTGTCAATTTCCAAGTGTAAAAACGCTATAAAGACAAATATTGTCTCTTTATTTCATTTTTTTCCTTTGTTTTATTTTCTTTATTAATCTTTTCATTTCTTACATTCATTGAAATCTGTATTTATTTGTTTAGTTATTTATTTACTTATTTATTTACTTATTTATTTATTTACTTATTTACTTATTTATTTACTTATTTATTTATTTATTTACTTATTTATTTACTTATTTATTTATTTATTTACTTATTTATTTACTTATTTATTTACTTATTTATTTATTTACTACATTTTTAGTTTTTCCACATAGCTCAGTGGTCAATAAAGTGACCATTATTGCCATAGGTCAATAATGAGCACTTTATTGACCACTGCGCTGTAAGGGGACTCAAATTTTTGACTGATTTCCCACAACTAATTCAAGTACAATTAATTAATTAATTAATTAATTACAATAATCTCTCGAGCTAATAAAATAACGAACATAAAATGATTAATCAACGTTCAATAAATACGCTGCGTATATAAATTAGCCGCATACTTATAGCCACCCAATCAACGACTTCTCGCTGATTCAAATTTAGTGAATAAAGCAATTATAACTTTCTAGTTCAATTTAACGACCCTGACGATAGGAAATTTTATAATTGAACTTCAATATTCACTCGTGCAATCCCTTTGACACGTTTCGAGTTTGCTGAATCGAGGAATAAAATCTCGGGGCAGATTAATTCTCTAACTAACAGACGATATATATGTATACATCACTCTTATATCGATATGCTCTCTCCTAGTGTGTGAATGAAGCACTTTTCAAGTTATTTAAATAAACACTTTTCAGCTTAACAACTTTCAAGTACACGTCTATAGTAATAGTGAAATGGAAATTATCAAAAAGTAAAACGATTAAATCTACTTTGTTTTGACCCTATATTTAAATTGTGAAAATGTAAAACGAAAATAGAAAAAGAAGTTGGAAAAATTTACAGAACGAAAGTCAAGGACGATTTAAATTTAGCTTCAAAATTAAATTCTCAAAAGTGGAAGAATTAAATTGAAACTTTTTTTTATTTATAGTAAAATATAAAACGAGAGGAGAAAATCAAGATGGAGAATAGAAAAGAAAAGTCAAGGATGAGCCAAAATTAACAAGAATATTAGTTAATAATTAGGAAAGAATTCTGAACGAAATTTATTATTTGATTCAAACAATGGATTATTTTTGTTAAACAAATATTTCTATTTAAATAAATATTTCTCTGTATAAAACAAATGCGTTTACTTTGAAGCAAATAATTTGTATCGAATAATTAATTAATAATAATAATAATTAATTAATTAATTAATTAATTAATTAAAATTATTAATTTAATTATTAATTTGAATTAATTTAAATAATTTGAATTAATTAGAATGAATAGAAATGAATTTAGTAAAAAATAAGTTTGCAATCTTTTGCTGAATTAACTTTTTCCAGTGTAGAAAAGTGAGTACCAACTTTTTTCAATTTTTTTAAGAGAGACGTCTAGCAAAAAAAATGCCGAAGTCAATAATTTAGTTCTCCGATATATAGACATAGTTTTCAAGTGGATGCTTCGATATGTATATATATATTTGACGAGAGGTTGAACTGGACAGTTATGTGTAATCAAATGAACAACCATAAACCCACTTTCACGTGTAATCTCTCTCGATTTGATTGCGGTATTCGCCGCGTAAGCAAAATCAGTTTAGATAAACGATATTGCCAAACTACAGACGAGAATAAAAAAAAAATCGGATTAAATTCTTTCACTACAAAAAAAAAAAAAAAAAAAAAAAAAATGAAGGCCACAGAGCATGTGACATGCCTATAGACATACATGTATTCTATCAGGAAAATAACCTAATTTATCGTTTACTACTATTTGTCATTCAACTCATCTCAAAATTATTCCGATATTAATTAAATTTGATCAATTAATATTAAAAATTGTCTACTTTTAATTATATGCAAACGTGGTATTCTAATTACTGTAAAATAGAAACAATATCCAAATATTTATGTGGGTTTCTTAAATTGTTCTTAAATTAATCAATTTATAGTTAATTAATTTTGAATTTAATATTTGTATACTAAACCAAAAATTTAAAACTTACATATTGTATATTCACCAATTTTCACTAATAGACGTAGAATGGCATCATTTTGGTACTATTCCGGTCTTAAAATGGCACCTGAAACAAAAAAAAATAACCAAAATTAATAACAGATTCTAAAAAAATAATTTATATAACTCAGACTCGTAGGTTAATAAAGAACCCATTAATACCCTAGGGCAATAATGATTACTTTATTGACCCTTGAACTAGGGCAATAATGATTACTTTATTGACTCATGAACTATGGCACACGGAAAAAAAAGTACAACCGAAATGGAGAAATTTTTCGCCATAACAGCTAAACATTTCGTCAAAAACGAGCGAGCGATATTGGCATTATCGCTAGAATCGCGATATTGAATTTTACTTGAAAGACAACCTAACCCTAAAATGATTTTTAATTTTTTTTAATTGTATGTTTCAAATTATAACCATATGAAAGTAAATTATTGAAATTAATACTGTTTTAAAACTAAAAAAACACAAAACTGATATTTGTGCTGTCAAAAAAATTTCTGGGTAGGAGCCGTAGGAGCAGCAGGTTTCCATATAGTTCCAATATGGCTGACGAATTGCACTCAACCAAAGCTCACTATCACTGAATTGGCTAAACTTTCGGCTAATGTAGTTAAGCTTAATTCCAAACGTGGGTTATGTTGTTCTTCATTTTAATTATATTCCCAATATTGCTCGTTCGCGTCATGAAATTTTTTTCCGTGCAATAATGATTACTTTATTGACCCTTGAACTAGGGCAATAATGGGCACTTTATTAGCCTTGTCATAGGTCAATAAAGTACTCATTATTACCCTAGGGCAATAATGGTCACTTTATTGCCCATCTGAGCTATGTAGACGAACTTATCATGCATTATCACAAATTCAATAATAATAATTAATATAATTACAATTAACATAAAAGAAAAAATACTTAATCACTATAAATACGAATAAAAAGAAAACCATTCAACTTGCAATATTATAATAAAAAATTTTTAATTGAAAATTTCAGGAATAGAAGAAGCTCACAAAGATGGTAGATTAGCAAGTCTCATAGGGGTAGAAGGGGGTCATGCAGTTGGAGCGAGTCTCGCGGTGCTGCGGATGCTGTACGAGTTAGGAGCAAGATATCTCACTCTCACTCATACATGTAATACACCTTGGTGAGTATATCGGATACGAAAAGTTGTTAAAGTTTCTCTTTTCTTTCAAAAGAAAGAAATTAAAAACTACTTTTTTAAAAATACCGTAAAAGTAGTTTCTTCCAGTTTAATTGACTTTTCAAAAAAAAAAAAAAGTCTCGTCTTATTACAATCTTTATTTTAATGACTTTCTTTTCCTGCTCCCTTGTGACCTTTACTGATTCAAACAAGCTTTATATTAAAAAGCAAAGAAAAAATTAACCATCACAATTAAAACGAAAATTACATTATTTCTATACTTATACCTTCTTGTGAAAAGAAACTTTCATCAATAACGAAATTATACAGAGTAAATTTTACTTTCTTTCAAAATAATTTTTTAAATAATTTTTTTAAAACTTATTAAAACTTTCTCTCAAAATAATTTTTTAAATAATTTTTGTAAAACTTATTAAAATGTACTTTGATGTTTCAAAATTTACTCCGAAAATATACTAAAAGTTGCAAAGCAGAAATGCACCAAACTTCTGGAAACTTTAGATTTTAGTTTCTAAATAGTAAAAAAGTTACTCTATCCTTTGTATGTCAAATTAATTTTTTATTTGAAATAAATAAATAAGTTTGAAGCCTCCAAGTTAGTTATTCTTTTAACTGAATGTTACTTTTAACGGTTTTAATCAAACGATTGGTAAAATATAGAATTATTACAATTTTATTACAACAGTTACAAAAATAATTCTGATACTTTTATTATTGTATTTTATTACAAACAAATAACTTAAAAAAAATTACTAATAGTATTTATGGGATAAAAAAAGAAAAATATTTTAAGCTTGTTTAAAATAACCAAAAACTAAAGTTTATAAAACCTTTGTATTGAAAATTTAAAACAAATTTTCCTCCGAGTGTCAAAATTTTACTTAATACAAAGAAAAAATTCCTCGCAATATTATACGAAACTTAATTTTGCATGTAAACTTTGTAAATAAAAAAAACAACACTCTCTCGTGTAAATATATCCATATGCACGTAAAATTTTTTTGCATAATTGGTGAATATTCATAAAAGCAGTGAAATCAGTGATTGTATTTAAAAACGATTTCACATTCAACAATAATTGCAAACAAGTTTCACGTATACAGGAATCTATCTATATCTATATAAATGCTTCGATAGCATGTTCCTTCTGTTACTATTCCTTTTTTTCCCCATATACATATATACATACATTTCGGAGTAATCGGCATAGTTATCCGATTTTCTTTTTCTCCAATATTTTCAACCGTATTTTTCGATAAATTCAAAGTGAGAGAAAGAGAGAAATCAAAAAGTATCAATTAATGGCTCGACTAACAAAAACAATCAATGACAAAGTGCAAATAGGATAAAACTAATTCAAAATTTTTTAATTCCATAATCGTTTTTCCCTCTATACATCTATATGTGTTCGCGCCACCAATAAAAAACAAATTTACATCCTCTGCCGAGCGTAAAATTTTTATTCATATATCCATTATTTTTAAATTACTTGCAATTAACCTTTTTCCAATTTTCCATTAAAAACACTTTGATTCACAAAATGTTTGTATCTATAAATTTTTTAATACATTTTTTTTATTCTCTATTTATTAATTAATTTTTGAATTTGCATTATTAGAACACATTTTTCTTGATAGCATCAAATTGATACTAAAAATTTGGATCAATTTTTTATTTGATCCACATTTTTTATATTAATTCGTTTGTAATTGTAAATTAAAAATTAAAAAATAAAATTTAAGTTAACAGTAAATCAATAATAATAATAATATAATAATTTAATATTTCCAGTAATGAAAATTTTCCCATTACAATAAAGTTCCAAACATTTCAAACCATTTTTCCAAGAGTGAGAAACTATTGTTACGCGAATACTCGCGCTTACTGTTTAATTCAGAAATAGAAAATTGGTAAGGAAAAATTTAGCAGGCAAAATGGAAAAGAACATCAATTATTGTTTAATTTTACAAGAAGTAATTTTCTAAAATGCTATTTGAAAATTTACAAAAGCAATTTATAGAACAGTTTCCATTTTCTATTGTTTAATTTTGCGAGATGGTAAAAGCATTAGTTTGAATCTTACTCAGATCAGTACAATAGTGTATGTCAATGTTTCTATCTCACGAGCTTTTCAAATTTCAATGTTCTTCAACTTTCAATGCTCGACAATGAAATTTTCAACTTACAAATTGTTCCTCACTGTAAATATCATTTAATTCAAAATGCTTTAAAACGTTTCTTGTGCAAATATTAAATCATCTATAAGGCATTTTGATTAATTAAAAAGAAAAAAATTCTTTTCTTCCGATGTATTAAAATTTTTCCTTTTTTCTTCCTCAATAATTAAGACGCAGTTTTTTTCCCTAACAAATTAGTTATTTCTTAGAAAAAAGTTATTAAAATTGTATTAATTCTACTAATCGTTTGATTAAAAGTATCTATATCTATCTATTTTTTATTCCACTCTGGGAACAGTTTGATTATTAAAAAAAAACTAATAATTAATTATAAAATAAGAAAAATTAATTTTTAACTTAAAATTAAATCATTAAATAGATTGAAATAAATATAATAATTCATTGACATTATCTAATAAATTAAAATTGATTAAAATTTAATAGAATTTAATTTGAATCAATAGAAATAAATTTAATTATAATTATTCAGAAGAAATTAATTGTAAAAGCAATTAGAGAAAATTAAAGAAAAAGGAATATTGGAAAAATTAAAATAAAATCAGTTACAATAAATTTTAATTAAAAATACCTAAATTTGTTAAGAACTAATTTTATTTACGATCAATTTTTTTTAGATTTAAATTTCATGGATTTTAATTTAAATTTATCTAAAGAATTATTATTTTTTTTTGTTAAAAAACTATTCCCTGAATGATGACAAGTTTCAAAAAACATTTATATTTTTAACAAATTAAATGAAATTTGAAAAATGCCTTACTGACCTGTTGGTTCGGTAGGGCAGACTGCAGCACGGCGGATGAACCAGGTCAAGTGCCTCACACCGGTGGTCTTTCCAATTTCGGAAAGGTGAGTTAACATTTCATTTATCATGCCTTACGTAACTAACCCAAGTGTGTCAAGACAAAGAAACCCAAGGAACGTTTCTCTCGAAAATTCTCTTTTACTCCCAAAAAAGCTCAGAAAACTCCAATTTTTCACGTTCCAACAAAAAAATTAATTGAATCCACAATTTTTTTTTTAATTTAACTAAGAAGTAATTTAATCATCACCTAATTACTGTCAATCATTTATTAAATTAAATGTTTAATTTTAAATAAAATAGAAAATTATCATTATCAAAATTTCTATAAAAGTAAAATATAATATTTAGAATTTATTTTTTCTTACTTTATTTAATTTATTTAATTTATATTATTTATTTAATTTATTTTACTTATTTTATTTATTTTTATTTACAGAATATTCTTTCTTTCCATTTAAACAACAAAAAAATCATGACTTAAGATCGTAACATTTTTTTCCACAAAGAAAATAAATTCCCTGTATCGCAATTATTTTCTATCTCTATTTTTCCTCCAACCATCATTTAAGAAACTAACCAATGTTTAAGAAACGTTTTGGAGAAAAAAAAACTTCACATTCTGTTTATAATATTAAATAAGTGGGTAAATATCCGGTACAGTAAACACCGACTCGTTCGGAAATGACACAAGAAATCGCGGATAGTAAATAACTGTTATTCTTCAAACAGTCTTAAACAGAATGTTTTGTATCGAACAATGGCGAAATACACTTCATACCAAAGAGAGAAATGTTTCTTCAACAAAACTTTTCCCTAGAAGTTAATTTTTTAACTCCACCAATAAATTCAATTACTAACAATTTTATATTTCATTAATTTATAGAACCTGACACAATTATTTATTTTCTTGATAATAAATTTAATTTATTATTACATATCTTTTTTTTTACTTCTTTATAGAAATAAGTAAATAAATAATTTTTATAGAAATAATACAACATCTATTGAAAAAAAATAAAGTCTCAGAACTTGTAAAAAAAAACTTATTAACAAAAAAAATTTTCAAACTAAAATTCTAAACAGTTTATTAATATAAATTAGTATTTATTTTCTTTTCTTTACATAATTATTATTTCATAAAAATAAAAATAGAAAATTTAAACAATTGACGCGAAATAAGTTAAGAGTGTTTGGTTTAGAATTTGATTTCGATCTGTACGTGATAGGAAAGAACAATTACGTCTGTGGCATCCAATCGCAAAGAGTGCAAAACCCGTTTAAGTTGAAAAGAGAGAAAAAAAACCCGGAAGAATGCATCGAACCAACAAATCTAAAGTAAATTAGGAAACCAGGTGTGTGCTTCACAAAAAGACGAAGAAAAAACTGTGACGAACATTGACGATAAATTAAATGCTACCCTAGGAATTTTTTACGAACTTCCATCACCCCGCCATTTTTTACAAACCTATTCTTTTAATTAATAGAACAAAAAACAATTTTATATTATAAATCAATTCTGTCCAATTTAAAATCCGTCAATAAACTTTTCCCCCAACCATAGAAAGAAACCAAATCCAAAAAATATTTCTAAATTATTTTATTATAAAAAAAAAAAAAAAAAATTATTTTATTAACAAATTTTTCATTTAAAAATTATTGCAAAAATTATTGCATATAAAGGAATAAAAAAGAAACTAAAGAAAAGAAAATAAACACAATGAAGAATAAGAGAAACAAAGAGAACAAAAAATAATATGAAATATAAACACACATCTCACATTATTTGATGTTCTTTTCTATTCTACCATGTGAAATAATTGGAAAATTTTCTCGTTGAAAATTTCAATCACACAAAGTTGAAAACTTTTCAGACATACATATATAATAAAATCGGAGAAAAAAACGAGGACAACAAAGTTTCTTTTCGTACAAACAAAAATAAATTCTTGAAATACAAGGAAATTACATTTAGATCAAATCATCAGTATAGGAAATTCAAAACTGATGCGAGTTTTTTTTAAATTAAAAAAACATGGCAATTTTAAAATGAAAAACATCGTTTCTCAAAAAAAAAAAAAAATTGATATTCATAGAAGCAGAAAAAAAATATTTTTCGTTTATTTTCAAACGAATATGATAAAGAAAAAAAAACTGCAGTGTTGAAATTGTGTCACAATACCTATTCTGTGTTGTTTTTTTTTTAGATTGGTTGCCAATACACTACGAGTGTATTTCTATTCGTAAAACTTGTAACTTCACTGATGGTAAAATGTCAATTGATCACAAAACAAAAATCAATATATTCAATTGCCCGAAACATTTGAAACTCTCGAAACAATTTGATTTTACAAGAGCAATCTGTATGTATGTATATTTCAATATTGTTCCACAATTCAAAATTAAATTTAAAAAAATCAATTGATTATTACGTTTACAAAAAGAGGAAATTAAATTTAAATACTACAAAATTATTCCAAAAAGCGGAATCTAATTTAATAAATGTAAATACAAAATTTTTTTAATTTAAGACAGCAAAGAAAACATAGAGAAAAATTATACATTTCTTTTATTGAAGGCAGCGAAGAAGAATTAAAAAAATAATTGTAAATAATAACAAATATTTTTTTAATAAATTTTTATTAATAAATTTTTATTAATAAATTTTTTTAATAAAAATATTTTTTTTTATTTAAGACACAAGAAGAAAAATTAAATAAAAAAATAAATAATAATTCGTAATAGTTAAATAGTAAATAAATATTGGAGTATAAAAAATAAAATATAAAAATAAGGAATTAAATTATTTTTCAGTAATAAAATAAAAATTATAGGATCAAAAAAAAAGACTAAGTAAATAAAAAGAAAAAAATGTAAATTTCATAAAAAAATAATAAAACACTTTATGAATAATTAAATAAAATGAAAAAACTAAATTTAATAATAAAATACTTTTCGACTAAGTAAATAAAAATTAAAACCAAAAAATTTCATAAAAAACACTTTTTGAATAATTAAAAAAAATTGAAAAATAATTTTAAAAATTAAAAAAGAATTTAAAAAACGATAAACTAATTTTAATAAAAGTAATACATTTAAAAAGTTTTTGCAAAAAAATGTCCTTTCAATATTTTTACATAATAAAGGCAATGACACAGAATAATGTATTAGCTATATACAGAATATAAAGTCAATTCAATTTCTTGTCTTTAAGTAAAACGAACAAAAAGGGAACTTAATCATTTCTTCTTGTACATAAGATGATAAAGAGAAGAAAAGCGTTCTTCTATCCATTTCAGAAATTTAATTTAAACAAAAAATTTCTCCTTTCCATACTTTTATCATTCTTACCGCTGAAGATGGTATATTTACTCTTTAAATTTAAATCAACGAAAGGAGTTGATTAAGGAGCTATGCTGCTGATTTCACATAAAATATTGAGAAAATTTTACTGCCATATTAATCCAATATTAGAAAAATCTGACACAATTTTGGGCAAAATGTTCTCAAAATTAGTCAAAATTGACTATTAAAATTTTATAAGATTTTTTACTTACAAATAAATTTTTAATTTTAATAAAGTATATATTTTAATTAAAAATAAAAAATTTACTATGCAATATTACCAAATAACATCACATTTGCCTAGTTACATCGCGTAAATTTTGCAAATAGCAACAATACTTAAAGTTTACCAATCAAAATCCCCTCAATTTTTTCATTTAACATTGTCTCAAAACGGATGCAATCAATATTGCAAAATTACCTCAATATCGCGGCTATACACGATTAGCTACTTTAATATTAATATTTATTATAGGCCACTATGAATTTTTTTTAATAAGTATTTGCATCGCATTTTTCATTGCTCGTAATGTTTAAAGCATTTTGCTAATCTTTGCTATAATCCTCTGTACTCGGTATATTTTTAAAGTGCTCATAAAATACTTACGAGCGGCTCGCTAATTATTCCAACAAATATCAATAATTTCTTCTTTCTCTCTCTCTCTCTCTCTCTTCTCTAAAAATTCTTCCTATTATTTTTTTTTAAATACAGCGTCTCTTTTCAATTACCATATTCCAATTATTTCAAAAATCGATAATACAATTAACTCCATAACTTTATTAAATTATATTTCTATTTTTTTTGTTCCCCTTTTTTTTTGCAACAAAAATGAATAAAATTTAAATATCAAGACTTTCGTATACGTATACGTATATAAACTGCAAAACTCGTTCTCGCTTATATAACAAAGTTTTAATAATATTCTCTGCTGGTTGCATTGGTACTGAACTAAAGCGGATATAGTTTCATGTTAATCGCTACTCTAGGAGAACAATTTGTTGCTTACTGTGTTTCTCCAGTGGTAAATTATTTCTGGAGAGGTGAGAAGAGCAATGAATTTACTGGACACTGGACTATGACCAGATGCGATCCTTTATAAGCAAATTAATTTCAGGATTCAACTCTTAGCCGTTGGTTAATTAACTTTTCAGACAAAAGCATAGTTTTCTTTACGGCAAAAACAAGGTGAATTATTCACTCAGACAATTTATATTCATGTCAGAAATAAACATATTTTTAATTAAATATTCTTTTCTAAAAGGACTTTCATAACAATTTTATATTTTATTCAACTTTTTTTTTATTTTAACAGAAGCTAAAAAATATTATATTCATGAAAATAGTAACTGAACTGAGAAAATTAGAAATAATCAAAAAATACCTATAGAAAATAAAAATAATAAATAAAAACAATAACAAAATAATAAAAACAATAACAAAATAATAAAAACAATAACAAAAATAATAAAAATAATAAAAAAATAATAGAAACAATAAAAAGAATAGAAAAAACAAAAATAAAAGAAAGCAAAAATTATATAAAAATAAAAGAACTAATTAGAGTCCGGAAATGATAAAACGACTATAAATTTTCCGTGATTTGAAATATTAAAGAAGCTGTTAGCGTTATTAAGGTAAATGGTCTTAAAGTGCAACATTTGATCTTGTATGAAAAAGGCAGATAAAAGTATTTAGTAAAGA